AACGAGGCACGAGTTTCATTGCCTGTCTTAGATTAGTGGGATAAACTTTTATTTGTGTCAATAAGTATTCAGCTCTAAGCTAAGAGCTAATTGGGGATGTTAAAACGAACAACGAGAAATGAATTAACTGTAAGTATTTCTTTGATGAAGGTTGAAAAGAAGCATGAACAAACATAATTTGGTCATGAAGAAGATAAAGATTTCAAGCAACGTTCGTCAAAATCCCACTGAAAATAATTCAGTTGTAAAGGAACTATACAAGTACCTCGTTCTCCCGTCCACAAGGGAAACTCGCCCTTTGTATAACATATCTTGTAAACATCTCAAGATAAGAACACAAAGCAAAGCAACAAGCTAAACCTCAGAGCTCTAACGTCGTGGCATTTCGCCAAATCACCCTTTTACAATATTTACCTGTAACTGTAAGCTCTCAGAACATTTCCGAAGTTAAATTACCAGGTGCGAAAACGTTGCTAGACAACCAGCCAAATACGTTTATTTTTGTCCTCAAAAACAACTGGGCCTTCATTATAATTACCAGTTTAATAAGCGCAGTTTACGCGAAAAGGATGAGGAAATATTACTGCTCTCTAACGAATCAACGGTGAGAAACTATGTTTACTTATTGCTCATGTTTTATCAGTACAATCCTTCCTTATCTGAAAGTGCACATTCATTTTTTGGAGCCTTGATTATCCATTTCTAAAACCAATGTTTATTCACGTAATGTATAGCATCGAACTGTAATATAATCTATCTGGTTAATTTCTTTAAAACAAACGTATTAAGTAACGACATAGCAAAATACTAAGTGAAATTATGGTTCACTGGCTTTCAAGTCAAGGCAAACGTGGGAACTGATATCAAAAGTTCATTTTTATATTTACTTTTTACACTTATAGACTTATGTTTTCATGTAGTCAAAGAAAACTACATGTGATTTGCTGGGAATTAAATGTAAATAGCAAAAATTAATCCAGTATCACTAAAAGAAACTCTCGGGTCGAGTAGACTCAGTATCAAACCAGTAAGGAAATTGCATGAAAGTTTATTTAGACTACAAGCAAGTGTTGAGTAATATTTCCAGGTAAAATTAAGAGAAAAAAACATTCAGCTTAAAAAGAGATTCTTAATTAAGAACTTTTAATGGATTTTTAAAAAGCAATAAATCAAACACACTATAAATTTTAATTAAGCGTCGCAGTTAAGTATACAACTGTGGCGTTGATTTTATGCAAAACTTTAACTATATGTGTAGTTCTCACCTTGAAACAATAAAGATCTAAATTATGTTGAAAGTTTGCTTTCTAACAGTGTATCTGAGAAGAATTCAGCAAGGTCCCTTACTGTAAGTTAGACTGATTAAAAACATTTATATACTTTCTAAATTATATATCACACATTAACCTCCCGATTTTTAGAAAAAAGGAAACCGACAGACCCAAAATGTCCATCATTTGCAAATTAATGGTCGTTAAAAGAAAAGAGAAAACACAACAACGTACGTCAAAACAAGAAAGGACGATCATACTCCCTTAGTTGATATAATGAATTGACGCTAGACTCAGTGTCTAAGAATTGGAAAATTACAAACACGAGAGACTGTTTCACGGGGATATCCAATCACCGAAAAGAGAGTTGAAAATACGACGCGCAGCGGGAGTATTTTTGACGAACTTCGAAGTGTTTGGATAGCCGATGAAACACTGTCTCTAGTGTTTGATATATCTTCTCAATCGAGACAAAAAATAAGGAGTAAACGGAGAAGTAAAATCGTCAAAAGCTATGCTAATTAAGGCCGGGTATCCAAACTCGGTTGTGATCACCCCTCTTTGTTTTAACTTGATGAGTTATTAATGAGTTTGAGGAGCCGGAAACTTGAAAAAGTGTCATCGAAACCCAAGCTTGATCATTTTTCAAACCAGCTGGTGTGGTGATATTAGGGATAAGGTTGACGAACGATTTTTTTTTTTACAACAAAAATAATATCGTTGTTCAATGGTTACTGCAGCACTTCTGTGACGCACAGCCATACAGAAGTCTGTAAATTAGACTTGTAACGTTTTTTTTTTTCCATTGCATATTTTGCTACAGTTTCTAGCCCAGTCACTGTCAGTTTATAAGAACTGAAGCAACACCGAAAGTCTGAAGAAGGATCAAAGAACGCTGAGGTAAACAGCCATCTCACTTGAGTAAGTACAGTCGCCTCCCGATAACTCGAACCAAATTGATTTCCCCACGATTTACGTAGAACATTTACTATAATTTTATTCTTGGTAACTCGAACCTCCCGTTTACTCGAAGCAATTTTCGTTTTTTTTTCAGTTCATTTTCTATATAATTTTATCCTCGATAACTCGAACCATGTTTGTCAATATTTGACAACCCATAACTATCAGTTCTGTAGTGCAAAAAATTGAAACTATTTCTCGAAAAAGTAAATCGCATGAACTCTATAGCTGTAGCCCAACGTTGTTCTCTTTGAAACCTGCAAAGTTCGCAGTACCTCAACTTCTCCTGCTGCTTTGCTTTGCTTTCTTTTGTTTCCCATTTTCTTTTGTTTCTTTTGTTTGATAAGGTTAAATTAGAATCGACTAAAAGAGCATTTTTTTATAAAGGGGCAGATATTTGTATTAATTGTATTTCAATCTAGCGCCAGTGTTTTTTATCTTTCTTTATACTGTATGTATATTTTTAGATTTTTATAGAGCTTTTTAGATTTTTGCATATTTTATATTTTATTTTATTAATTATTCATTTATTTGTTTTACGCAGGACCCATGTTGATAGCATTTTTTAAAACTGAAATGGTCATCCTACATAAATTTATGTATTTATTTATTTATTTATTTATTACGTTTATATGTTCTGATTTATAAATGTACAGTAATTTAGAAATGTGCTGCTCCATTTTAACTCGACGCGTCTATAATAATTAAATTTGATTAAAGTGTACACTGTATGAATAGAAATACAGTAGAACAACATTTTTCTTTATTTCCGGTCATTTTTCCTCCACTCCCGATAACTCGAACCTTTTTCAATTTCCCTTGAAGGTTCGAGTTATCGGGTGTTGACTATAAATTTCTTTTACCAGCCTTGTCACAGCATTTAATTTGTTAGGCCTGTGATATGCTGCTTATTTTGAAATCAAAAGATACAGTAAAGTTTAATGAATAGACCTTATCACGGTTTTCGACGCCATCTTGACGGGTAGCAAAGCGGTCAGAACTTACATTGTTTGTATGGGAATCTGATGGCAAATAACTTTTTCCAAAATTTAATGTTACACAATTTGTGAATCAAAACGTTAAAATACTAGGTAGAATATCATCAGTGTATTCACCAAGTTTGAAGGACGTAGCTTGGCTAGAAGACGCTCAGTTAATTTTTCTAATTTTCCATACATTTATCTGTAATTTTTTTTTTCCCGCGAACCGCGTCTAGACGTCCGTCTACCCAACCAAATTTTATAGGCAAATGCATGGAAAATGAAAATTAAGGTCTTCTAGCCAAGCTACATCCTCCAAACTTGATGAATACAATCTTCTACGTAGTATTTTACCGTTTTGGTTCACAAATTGTGTAAAATTCAACTTTGGAAAAAGTTATTTGCCATCGGATTCCCATACAAACACTGTAATTTCTGACCCGCTTTGCCTACCCGTCAAGATGGCGTCGAAAACCGTGATAAGGCCACTTTTTTTTTTTACGACATAGTCAACGAGATACAGTTCATCAATGGGGTGTGCACCCTCTCGTCGCTCAAAGACCACAGTGGTTTATCATCGTGCCTCCAGCGTAACATGCAACAAAGTTTCGGTCGCAGTTTCTAATGAAAACAAAACCATCTTGTGCGAATCTTGGAAACTTCTGGAACAAAACAAGACCACTACGGGAAAGCGAGTGTTTACAAGGTACATTGCAATTATGTCAAGACGGCTGTCATGCATGTAATATTACTACTTAAATTAGCGTTTACTCAGTCAGTCAGTCAGTCAGTCAGTCAGTCAGTCAGTCTTTCAGTCAGTCATTCAGTGAGTCAGTTAGTCAGTCAGGCCGGTCAGTCAGTCAGTCAGTCAGTCAGTCGGTCGGTCGGTCGGTCGGTCGGTCTGTCGGTCAGTCAGTTTGTCGGATCAGTCAGTAAGCAGGTAAATCAGTAAGTAACCAATGGTAAGTAGCAGTAGTAATCTATCCAATGGTCAGTTGCTTATTAAAGCATTTAACAAGAAATATAATGAGTAACGTAATTCGTCGTTTCGATGTGTCCAACATCATTATCAAGAACAAATATCGTTGAATGTCAAAGTTGTTAAAAGAGTTGAGTTTACACACGATTAAAAATAAAAGCTTAAAGACTTGTAGATCGTGTGTACTATATTATTACAATCTCAAAAAATATACACAATCATTTGACTTCTTTAAGTTTAGAGTTTTTAAGGGTCGTCATGCTCTCTAGAAATCTGGGCCTGGTCATTTGAAAAGCTAAATCAAATTTTGCCTAAAAGCACTCCCTTCATATTACACTGATTTAACGTTTGAAAGAGCTACACAAGCAGCAGAAGTCACTAAAAAAGATAAATACAAACGCATTCGTAATTCAAACCAGCCTTAGCATCTTTCTCTTATTTGTATCAAAGAAGTTTTATCAAAATTCAAACGATGGAATATTTTACATTTTCTCGTAGACTTCTTCAGTTAAATCCAAATCTACAAGACACATTTCCTTCATTTAGAGGCGTCGCCCTTGAGGACCTGATGAACTCTCGTTCGTTGTTTTTACACTCCAAGCGTTTAATGGCCGTGGTCGAAAACGCTGTTTCTTCGTTGAACGACGCACAAGAGTTTATTGAACATCTTACGAGACTTGGAGAAAGACATCTCGCTATGTCTGTTACTGAAAAGCATTTAAAGGTAGGGCCGGTAAACTGTGTGTCGCCATGGCAACAAAAAAGATTTGGAGAAATAAGTAGCTATTGAGCAGTACTTTCTTGTGGCACTGTTTTGTTGTCAAGGTCGTTTTGACGTTTGCCTCCGGTAAATCCGAATAAACCCGTGTAAATGGCATCCGAAAGTAAAGATATCGAACAGTGGTACTTTTAAGTTATCGTCATAGATGTTGCTGGTTGAGAGGTTTTTAGTCTGTGGATGAAACCCTAGTGTGTCACCATTAAAATGAAAGCTATTATGCAGTGCTTTCATGTGGTACTGTTTACTATGCTGTACAAGGTAGTTCTAACTTTTAAGTCTGTGGATTAAACCCTAGTGTGTGACCATTCAAATGAAAGCTATTGAGCAGTACTTTCACGTGGTACTGTTTACTATGTTGTACAAGGTGGTTCTAACTTTTAAGTCTGTGAATGAAACCCCAGTGTGTGACCATTCAAATGAAATCTGTTGAGCAGTATTTCTGGTACTTTCATGCGGTACTGTTTATTATTGCTTAGTACGCTGTTCCAAGTGGTTCCAATTTTTTATCCGGTGGATGGGGCCCTATTGGGTTACTTTCCTGTTTGTTTTCGTTACACGTAGCACTAAGTTGTACCATGCGTATTACGGTAGACTATTTTGAACGACTAATTTAATGAGCAATTTAGAAGCCCGTTTGCTATTTTGTCCTTTCAGGTCATGGAAGAAGCTTTCATCCTCACATTAACGGACATTCTCGATGAAGGCTGTGATGAAAAAGTCACTAAGGCTTGGCGAGAATTGTTTGGATTTATGGCCGGGACCATGTTGAAAGGACTGGGACTGAGCGATGGTACCAAGCATTGTGAACATAACTTACCACCGGTTGGATAAGCACAGATCAGCTTTTTGAGAAAGACAGAAAATTCGTAGAAAATAAACCATATTTAACTGTTTACTAATGAGAAACATCTAATTTACTTAACTTTAGACCAGGACTTGCGTTAACGTGATTATAAAAACTTTTCAGCACGGAAACAATCCCCTAACAATTATTCGACTTTTTTGATATCCTGGTATAACCTGGAGCGAGGTAAGGAATTGAAGGCTTTCGCTGATAACATTCTTATTTCCCCTTCATTATTCTGACGTATCGCAAGAACATAATCACTACGCTTATTGTTGCGTATATTGACGCGGCGCGTCCTCACTACGTCGGAGAAATTTAAAAACCAGCTTCATTTCTACGGTTAGATCTACCGTCCACACTAATCGGTCACGAAAACTTAGGGTTAGTTTTCAAAACGCTCTTCAAACCGGAGGAATTTGAAAACGCCGGCTTCGCGTTTTATTTCAGTGTGGACGGAGAACATTTTGAAAACGGAGTTTTCGATGGCTTCATGATAATCATTTGATTTCCCTGACCGAGATTTCCACAAACACAAATCCAAAATGACCGTAGATTGTTGCGTTTCTATAGATTTTCTCCGGAGTAGAGTGGACAGAAAGCATTTGATTCGTTTTCAGAGTGAAGCCTCCGCTTTCAAATTCCTCCGGCGTATTGTGGATGGGGCCTGAATTACCCAAGTACGAAGGAACAGAAATTCTGGAAATTCCAGGACGTCATCCTCTTTTTCCAGAAATTCCTAACCTGCGATCATACCTTCCCTCCCTTCCTACTATCTCATTACAGGATAGGAAATTCCGGAAAAATTCTGTTATATTCGTCTTTAGAAATCTGCGGAAATTCAAACCGGAATTTTTGTCGTTCATTATTATTCTAATACCATTTTTACGGGATATTGTTGAATGCAGATGTCTTTTTCTGCCCGAACAATCAGCGGGATGCAATAAAGATAAATTACAATACCAAAAAATTTATCAGGTTCCCTGAGAGGATATTCATACCTAGTTTGCAAAAATATTGCCGTTAAAAATTACGATTGGTTTGATGAAAATTACTAATGTCACTAGAGTTATGAAAAATCGACGCAGAATCAATAACTAAAAAAGTTAAAAATTAAAAAGTTAAACATGTCTGAGGTGACTCCTCTATATCAATGTAAATTAAGCATGTGGATTTTCATTACCATATGCCGCAAAGAAATCTCTTAATCAAAGATCTATCGATACAAAATGAAGCTTTACTTGGATTTTTGTGACACTGATCTATGTTGTAGAAGGAATTTTTGTCACAAGTTTTAATGTAATTTATAATCGTGAAAAACGAAATATAATTCAAAAAAGGCATTATTAACAGATGCCGTTTGCTCAGATACCGTTTGTTTCCAACAGAGCATATAATATACGCGTATGTATAATGTACGCGTTATTTTACCGATACCCCAATGCATGTTTTGACGGCCAATTTTTAAGACCTTTTAAACTGTCTTGTTATGTGCAATATCTAAAACAAGAAGTTCCATTTCGATTTTTTTCGACACCGACAATAGCTAAAATAACTTCTGATTATCGACTAGGTAGTCTGTCAAGGAAAGTCTGGCAATGAACTATATTTTAGGTGGTATGCTAATGAAGTCTGACGGCGTTACATCTGAAACGCAGTTTGACGAGAAAAATCTTATAAGTAGGTTGAGCATTATCTGTAGGAAATCAAGCACTGTCGAACTTACAAAAGGAAAAAGCAATATCACGATGTTTAGAGCTATAGAACATCAGAGATAAACAGCACAGGAAATTTAATTTACCATTAATATCACCGCCACATGATATTAAGTCCAATTTTATCTATTCACGACTTCCCTTTTTATTGGGCGGAAGTAAAATATGAATTCTAAATAGTACTTTAGAAGAGACCGTTCCAATAACGAAGAGGCTTTTGTTTCTCCAACACTGCAAGATGTACTGCTAATGCGTTTTAAAGATCCCCATTGTGTTCCGTTTTATTTATAAACCTGTTATATGCTCTTGGTTGCCAAGTTATAAATTTATTTTTTAACTAAGATGAAATATTGTTTTGTTATTGCAAGATTCCGCAGATAAAACGTCTAGTCAAATTTTGTCATCAGCAGCGTCGAAAGCTTAAAAGATATATAGGTAGGTTATTATTGATATTTTACGACTTATCAGACCTCTCGA